CCAATAAATGATTGCCCATACTCTGAAGTCCAATCGAACCTCAGGTTAAAGCCCAGAAAGAAAGAGACTCCATGGGAACATGCATGGTGATTTCATAAGCAATAGAAAAACTCTATTGTATTGTAGAAAAAGTTACCCCAGAGCACTGCAGCGTTTTCCCTAGGTTTACAATTGCTGGGGGGGGGGGGGAGGGGTAGTAGTTGAGCAAACTCTCTGCCCCGCTGCTGCGAGCAGCACAGCACACAGACATGTTTGCGTGTGTTGAACAGCCAATGCGTGTAAATATGAATTAAACTTTAAATTGAGTTCTGTTATTTATCAATAATGATTAGTATTAGCTGTCCTATGAGGTGATATTACTGTGCACATCATTGAGGTAAATCTTTAAAGGGAACACCCACGGCTAACAATGACTGGTAGAGACGGGGGGTTGTCCCGTGGCAATACACGGACTATGGATCAGAACCTTGTAAAAGCCCACTTCACACATGTGAACTATGGTATAATGTCAGGAATCAGGAATCGGGAATCAGGAAACATTTATTACCAAAATATGTCAAACATACAAGGAATTTGTCTTGGCGGTTGTGCGTGACAGTAGACAGTGTGACAATAGACAACAAGACAGCAGCGCACAAGTAATGAAATAAAGTAAAATGAAATGCTAATGCAATGGGTTAGTAGAATAAGGCTATGGGTTAGTATAAAACAAGGGAATAAAGTTAAAATATTAAAATATTAAAAAAGTTAAAAAAATATTAAGCATAAAGTGCACTAACGAACAAGTAACAAAGTGACGAGTGACGACAAAGTGACAAATTACAGTTAAAGTGACATGTGCAGTGTGAAGGGGAGTGGCCGGTGGAGTGTTATAGTCAGTCAGTGGGGGACCGGGCTCTGTTGATGAGCCCGACTGCCGACGGGAAGAAACTGTTCGTGTGGCGGGAGGTCTTAGTCCTGATGGACCTCAACAGTTTTTGTCCGGGGTGGGAGGGGTCGGCCACGATCTTTTTAGCACGCTTCAGAGAGTCCGGCAGGGACGGCAGATTGCAGCCGATCACCCTCTCTGCAGAGCGGATGACACGCTGCAGAGAAAGCACTCACCTGGATCGTCCAAAGCATCAAAGAGGTTGAACCCTGTAAGAGGAAGACACGAGGAACATCATTAAAAACTGTAGACCAACCCACCGTAGACATCGGCAATATATCAGCTGACCAGAAGGTCCTCTCCTTCATAGTGGAAGCACATGTGTTCATGTGTTGTAAGGCGTGCGCTGCACTGTTTTGCTTGGTTCCTACGGCGACGCTGACTGATACACCGCAATGCTTTGAGGCATGAGTCACTAGGACCAGCAAGTTGCTTCCCCCTACAGAAAGAGCAGAGGCCAACCCTTTTTACCCAGGAGGCAATGGGACACCGTCTCTCCTCTTGTGAAGCTCTGGCCTTCATGACAGGTCACCGTCAGTGGTTCAACATGCACCACATCAACGCTACCTGCCACACTGCCAGGTAGCCGCCATCGGTCCTCTGAAAAAGGGGCCGACTACTCCTTGAAGCAGCTGCAAAAATGAATGCATTAATTGCAATCCTGAAGTAGACTAACAAAACAGAACCCAGAACCAAAGAGCCACATGAAACTCGCTGGTAATCCTAGTAGTTCAAAACACATAAACCGTGGACGCGGTACAAGAGGACCGAGGCTCCATCACAGTTTGTTTGTTCATGTCAATAATGAGACTTGTGAATCAAGTTGGATATATTTCTCTCATACATCACACAACGTCAGATCATTTCTTCATACCAACAGGGGTTAGAAGCCGGGTTCAGCTCACATGATTCTTATGGTTCAATATAGCAGCTGAATATTAAATATATGTTTGGTGATGAGGTGTTAGGAAAACCTAACCAGGTCACTTTTATCAGATTGCACTTATAAGAACACATTGGCTATGTATAATTTTGTATTTAAAAATGTACAGAAAAGTACTGTATTTCAGGCCGGTTGATGAAATTGATATAATACTACTACTTTCTTTTCCATTTCCTGATTGAAACCTGACTAAAGTACTTGTCTTTTGTGGGTTACAGCATTATATTTAGGTTTAGGTTTATCACGCTCCACACGCTATACCAGAATGTATCACAGAAATAAAGCTCACTGGTATTGGATACAACATATCAGCACTACTGTAAGCCACAAAATATCATCCTCGCCTATTTCCGTCAAATAGCGTGCTGAGTCTCTCTCATGTGCGTGCCTGTGGTTTTCTGCCACACAAAACAGTGGCACGGACTCAGCTCGGAGCAACTTCAGCCCGGATATTGTCTTTCTCATTGTTTGCTTCAGTCTGACGCTGTCCGACAGATGAGGTACAATGGAGCTGTGGCTACTTTGTCGGTCCAGTTCTCCTTTACAGCCGTGATTTAACTAAAACGCGCTGCAGCGGGCTGACAAAGCACGATCACAGACTGTGTATGAGAAGAGGACAAAGTCACGGGGACATCTCCTGCTGGTTTGACATGTTGGGGGCGGAGATAAGAACGACCGTTTTACAATGAGCTTCCATAGAAAGATCTCAATGAAATAGTTAAAATTGTAAGATGAAAACACAGACAACACCCAGACCAGACAATGCCATTAATGGACCATCATTTACTGTATGAACATCATGCTGTATTGAAGACTTCTCGTAACTACAGATTGTGATCATAAACTCATGTTTACAATGATTAGTGATTGAATAAATCCAGAGAGAAGTAGAGTCATTTTCTCATAGACTTCTATAGGACCAGAGGAGTCGCCCCCTGGTGGTCAGTAGAGAGGATGCAGCTATAACACATGAAGCTTTGGCTTTACTCTACAGAACCATCGGTGGCCCCCGAGCCAGACCCGCAGATAGCGCTCCAGTTCATCTGAAAGGTTGAATTGGGTCGAGGTCAGGGAACTCAGGTCTCTATTTCTTCAAGACCGGGTGATTGTCATGTAAACAGGAAAGGGCCTGCCACAGATATGTAGACACAATTGTATTCTGCAGCTTAGGATGTCCCTTAAGGAGCCATTAGGAGCCATGAAAACATAATGTTCTAGTCCACTGTTCAGCTGTAAAATGAGAACAAGCTGAAACTGGGCGCCACCCACCCCCCCTTAAAAATACCCACTGTAGCTTAACACTACATGGTCCTCATCATATTCTACGATCTCATTTCATCTTATCCAAATAAATCACTTGTTTCCACTTCAACCTTCATTCACATGTAAAGATGCATAAACAACATGAACACACTGGGTATGCAATATGGAAAATACCCAGTGACAACATTGGTCATGTGATTTTTTTCCTGAGGTATTTCCAGATTTTTCAGCAAATCGGGCAGAGTTCACATAGTCTCCCGTTGGAGCCAGGCGGGGCCTGCGCAGCTCCAACACAACTCACATGGTTCTCCATCCACTGCTGACGTCGGCCTGGACCCACGCTTCACCTGTGTGGATCAGGTCCCGTCAGAGGAGCCCGTAACTCGGTCCGCAGGGGCCCCTTTAGGGTGTGAAGCGTGGACGAGTGTCCTCACAAGCTTCCTTTCAAGTGTAACCCCCTCCTCCCCCCTTGTAACGCATTAATAACAACACGACTACTGCCACACAAGCAACTGATATGCAAGGTTACATGTTGTGGCCTTTGTAAAAACAAAAAACTCCTTGTGAACTTTAATGATCTCACCTACGCCTTCAGACACAAACCAGTGAAAAACACCATAACGAGACCTCCACACCCCGGCGCTGCGGTGGGGATCTTACCGTCGTCCGTTAAAGTTCCAGTAACCAGTAGAAGGAGAACAGCGACCCTCAGACAGCCCGCCATGGTGACCGTAACTTCTGCTAGCTCCGTTAGCTTCGGGCGGAGAACCTGCGGCGGGTGTTCGTGGTCTCAGTCCGGGTCCGGACTGCTCGGCTCGGCTGGTGTCGGTTTACGGGTTTGGTGGGTGTGAGTCAACTTCTCCTCTGGGTGCGGTCACCTCGTCACAGGGGCGGCTCACAGGAACCGAATGGAGACACACGTGTGACTTTATCTAACTAGAAACAGATGCTTGTCGATTCATTTCACGCCGGACTGCGTTGCATATGAATTATTACAACCGGCGCAGATATATTTTCAAACCGAAGCAACGCGTCCTGTGGTGCAGGAGTGGCATCTCCTCTGCTGGAGGAGCTGCAGAAACCTGATCACTAGCTGCTCCGGACAGGAGGCTCAGCAAGCTGTGTTAAGATTGAAGTGAGCGCGTGCTGCAGTCGAGGACACTTTAAACATGGACAGCGGGAGAACTCCGTCTTTACAACCGAGAGATAAGACGTTTGTTTGTCTGTGGACTAGCAGGCAGTTCCAGGTAGCTGTGGAGCTCCGATCTCTGCAGCGGCTGCACGCTGCTCTGTGATGTTGATGGTCATTTGATTGTGTCTGTATTTCAGCAGGAGCAGGTAGAATGGGATGATGTCAACAAACTTCTGCAGCATCATGGTTTTAAGCCTGTGCATTTTGCAGATCCTGGAGGGAATAAGAATATTTCAGGTAAGGGTCATTCCAAATTCTTAGCTAAACGTCTATTTCTAGGGATGATTTAATTGTTCTCGGCTTTTTGTTTTTGCTTTGGAAGCCATCCAGTTTAGCTGTCATTAGTAAGATGAGGGCCTTTGTGCTGATACTTTGCTGTGAGAAGTTTGAAGATACTCTCTGAATACTCTTCATTAGATGAGTGTCTGTCACATGACTGTCCGTGTGTCCTTAGATCTGATTGTGCTGGACAAGAAGTCAGCTGGGGAGATCCGGATGAGTCTGAGGACTATGCTCACCGACTCGGAGAGGAGACAGGCTCTAATCCAGGAGCTCATCAAGTCCAACAACCAACTCAAGTACGTTCATCACACCATTCAGACATGTACATAATCATACCACGATAAAAACATTAGAAGCACCAGTATTTTTTTTTTGTGGAAGTTCACTTACAAAAAAAAAGAGGCAAGGAGTCAAGAAATATAGAAAATAGCATAATGTGCTCCTGGAATGTATGGAAAACAGGGTATACATGCTTGCAGTATACATTACTGTGGGCGATCGTGTGTGTACCTACTTAATAATATATCTGCAGTGTGCGTGGACCACCTGTCCTCCTGTCATCTAATCTCATCAGCATCAGATGAGCATCACAGAGGGACACCTGTCCCCCAGCTTGGTGCGGGTGTGAAGGTGTGATGCTGCCCATTGTCCTCCACAACCATCGTGTAGTCAAAAGAAGTACTGGATACATACATCAGATATTAAAAAACATATGTAAGGCTTAAAATCTCAATTCATAAAAATGTGGATTAAACCAATCAGCAAACTGAGTTCTTGCACAAATAATTATGGTTGTTTATTGTTTATTTAACCAAAAAGGTGACTTTGAGATGCAATGAGGAGTAATTTCTCTCGTCATCTAGTCCCAGATACTGGATAATATGTTGGTGAGCTGGATATGCCCTGTGATCATTTATGCCACAGGTGTCAAACTCAAATCCGGCCCGCCGAATAACTTTGCTATTTTGAGAATTTCGAAGTTCTACAAGCACAAGCTCCGTCGTCTGGAGGGCTCAAAAAAGCACAAAAGGTGGGATCGATTGCTTCAGACCTGGCTGAGTTTCACACTGTGGTCCCCACACTGGAGGCCTGGGCTCAGCAGCTCCGCCTCCTGAAGGTAAACACCACCTGTAGTGGCTTCTTTGTCTATCAAAAGAAGGCCACCACACTGGCCGCCTCACCGTGGAAAGTGATGTTTCTTTTGTTTTATTTAGTGTATGTATTGTATTTGTATAATTTATTGTTTTCCCAACACGAATCAAAGACATTCATGTTCACTGTCTTAATATACCTTCTCCTATTCTAAATGAACATAAATCATAAAACGTGTTACCGTACACTATTAAATGTATCTTTGCACTGTCCTGACTGTTACTAGAATCATCACTATCGGCAGCAGCCCTACTCCTCCACGTGGTGGGAGGTTAAACCAAACACATTGATAAGAAAATGGCTCTTCCGCCACTTGAGCAGTTGAAGGAACGTTCACGTCATCGTTCACCAAAGAGCTGGAAATGAACCTGCTGTGTGGAGCCACCTTTATGCGTGTTGGTTGGATGTGTATGTCGGTAGGATCTGCAAAGGGCTTTAAACCGGTTGACTGGCAGACTGATGCCCTGGAAGCCGCGTGATGGCGGCCATACTGTTGCAGTGAAGGTGGAGGACATGCTGATGCTGGTGGACAGCATGCTGGAGAACACCTCAGCTGAGGAGGACAAGGTGCCACCCTGCGCTACTACGTGCTACTTGCTCATGGTGGTGTAGAATACGCTGTGTCAGTTGATCCCACACTCGTAGGTTTGAGATGACCTTTTTGTGCTGTGGTGTGTGTCCCGCAGGTGCTCAGGAGTCCCACTCGGTACACGTTGGGCTCCATGGTGTCTCACTTCCAGAAGCTGTTTGACGTGAGCTCCCTCAGCGGAGTGTACCCACGTATGAACGAGGTGTACAGCAGGCTGGAAGAGATGAGGAACATAATGAGGAACCTGCGAGATGTTCTGCAGCTCGGTAAGCTCCGACTCTAGTGTTCTTTAGTGTGTGAGGAACATCTGGACAGTAGTTACACGGCACTCTGTGGTTCTGTGTAACAGACAGCAGGGCTCCTGCTGCTGAGGTGGTGCATGGGGTGGAAAGACTGGTCTCCTCCACCCAGAACACCGCTGGATTCCAAAGCTTGCTGGGAGAAGCTGATATCGACAGGTTCCCATCCGCTGAGCACACACGTTTTTTGGTCTGTTGTGTTTCTGCTGGTGTTCGGATGACTAAACAAAAAGCAAAGGCTTTTATGAATATGCACCAATATACCGTATTGTTTAGAGTAAGATAATCAAATCTTAAAGTGGCCCCTTAAGTTTAATGGACCCAGGCCAAATACCCAAAGTAAAAATCACTGTTTGTGCCATGAAACTTATCATTTAAAAATACAAACATTTTGTGTAAATGTGCAAATCATAGTGGACTTTGTAATAAAAAAAAAAATCCTCTAGATCTTGATCACCTAGAGATGCACACCATGTGTTAACGTTCAGAATGCTTCATACAACAGGAATTATACCTGCCTTGTTGTAACACATTATGAACTTACCTGAGAATAGGGCTCAGGTACAGGTACTGATCTTGTGCCCATATCAACCAGGTGCTTAACTCATAAAACCATAACTTTCTGACGTGTTTTAATACCCCTTTGTTTTCGTCCAGCTTCGAACTGCGTACTTCCGGTTTCTCTACATTCAAAATAAAAGCGCAACCGGAAATGCACCGACTGCCGTAACAATGTCATACTAATTCTACCTTATAGTCCAGTGTATTTATCGTCTGGAGTCAAGCATATTGATGTAGCAAACTCTACCTACCTTGGAGTGTTACAATAACCATAGCATCTCATTCCATGTGTCCATCCAAGCAAATTGGTGGATCCAAATGTTATAAAACAACACATGGTGTTATTTATCCCAAATAGCAGTAGGGCCAAGTGCGAAAAGTGGTCAGTGGCAGGTTCCTTTGCCAGAACGGCAAATGGAAAATGGGTTCTCAATTTATTTATTCATTTATTTATTTATTTCGATAAATATATCCCACTATTGTTTTCGCGTTGCCATGCCTCTGAATATCGCCATGTTCTTATAACATCATAGAAAGGTGCCAAATGACCCATTTCAGACTTTAGGAGCAAATATAGAATCCCTTTGTGTTCATTTCTAAAGCCTCGCAACAACACATACATCACTTTATTTAAGACGCTGCGCTACTTGCAAGTCCCCGTGATCTAAGATAGATTGTCAATGAAGTTAGAAAGAAACACGTATGGGAAACCCACGGTCACGAAGATACTCATTCTGAAAAAGGATCCTACCACAGACTACGACAAATTACCACGACCACAACCTGCCGTTCACTCCAAAATAGGCTAATGTTAATGTATGCTTATTTTTAAGGCTGTCAAAATGAATGGGTTAATCTATGCTATAATTATTGTGGCTGAGATTAATGCGATAAAACACTTCAACGCAGTTAATTTAGCTTTTTATTTACTTCTGGTGTGCGTTAACTTCTGGCACACAACTGCCTCGTGCCTGCAGTCAGATCAGATCAAGGCAGAGAGAGATTTTTGCATTGGAAGTAAAACAAACCAAGGCGCAAGAACTGTGCATAGGACCTCCTCAATGTGTCAAACAAGGGGGACGAGCGTCAAACGGACCACTTTAGGCACTGATAGGGCCCGAAACATGTTATTAGGTGCTGGGCTACTTCCATCTGAACATCTACCCTGTGTAGTACACCATCTGCAGAGGAACTCCAGTGTGGCGCTAAAAGACAGTGGTTTGGAAAACGTCCCGGCTAAATCTCGGGAGATTGATGGAGAGTTGACAGCACAGCAAACTGCACACAGCAGGAAGAGTGTGTCTAGTTCAACATGTTTGACCTGGTGAAATTCTGCTTTGGAGATGTTTAAAAGTGTAGTTTTGTGTTTAAAAAAGTGTAAAAAATTGAGTTTTCTAAATTGATTACTCGTTAATCGATGGAGTGGGCTGATGTTACAGTAACCCCCGGGCCACTTTTCCCCAAAGTCTGCTGCTGCTTCGCATGAAATGCCAGTGACACATAAAATACAGAAGTATAGTTTGGACACGTTTTCTCATTCAGACACTTTCAGAGAAAAGTGTTGAAACTTTTGACTGGAAATCCACGTGGCTGACTTGTTCAGTCCTGTTGTGTGACCTGGCAACCAGTTTGTGTTTCCGATTACATACTCTTCAACCATTACACACTCAAAATAAAATATTTGCATAACTACTATTCATAACTATACATAAGCACATGTCCACTTTTTGATAATTAATTTAATCTGTTAACGAACAGGCGGCGTCACGTGATAAAGAACTGGTATACTTTATATAGACAAGACTAAACAAAAATGTAGATTTTTTTTATTATCATTTCAAACATTATCTCGTTTAAATGTTTTCATTTCAGTGGACATAATGAAAGTGTTTAACACCCCAAAGCAGCACAAACAATGTATTTAACGTTTTTTTAACCATGAACCCCCCGCGGAACAGATGGTACAGTCCGAAGGTTGGTACAGTCCGTTTCCTGCACTCGGTTGCTAGGAGGCGGAGAACGCTAGAATACAACGCAAGGAGAAGCTCTGGGTGACACGGCTCTGCTACGACACGTGATAGTTCCTCGGGTTTTTTGGTATGGGACTGTACAAGTTGTTCAGTGGCTTCAACGGGTATTGGATTATTATTGATTAAATGTTTACAATGGCGTCCGACTGCACTCAAGAGGCCGTTCTTGTTTTTCTGCAGGGGAAAGGGGGCAAAGCGACCAACGCGGATCTAATAGAGCATTTTAAGTTCGTGTTCCCGGGGGAGTCGCAGGAGAGAGCTGCTGTCCGTAAGACTTTTAAAAGCTACGTGGACCACGTTGCTTTCGTAAAGACTGAGGGCGAAGTCAAATATGTCTGCCTGAAGAAAAGATTCCGCGGTTCAGAGAGGCTCGATCCGGAGGACCTCCTTCCCCGTTATCCGCACGCTTCAGACGGCAGGAGTGACGCGGCAGGTGAGGCGCAACCACCTGACTCAAGTTACGGAAGTAGCGGCCAGGTGAGAGTTGATGCTGATCTCACCACCGCATCCACTTCTGCGGGGGAAGCCGACTCGAGCGAGGGTCCTCAGCTGGTCTGTTCAGTGGAAGAAGCGGAGATGGGAAACGGAGACAGCTTTAAAAGAGACAAGAGAGAGTCCAAGAAGAAGCAGGTCGGACATGGGCCTGAAATACCAGAAATATCTGTGACTAATGCTTCGCCTCTTCCTGCAGAGGGATCTTCGTTCAACATGCCGGGGCCTGTGCAAACCGGTACTACAGGACCAGTTCCCACAGGTGGTGTGGGACTCAAACCCGGAGACAGGCTGGTGGAGGCCGAGGCGCTCTCCCCAGAAGTCCTGGAAGAAGGAGAACACGGTAACGTGGTGGCCAGGAGCAGAGCTCCCTTCCAGACAGCTGGAGTCTGATGATGATGAGGGAGGAGGAGGATGGCGATGAAAGGCCAGTCGGACACATGTAGCCTCTCTGGGAGCGAAGGACTCTGCAGCCCCAAAGGCAGCCGTAAACACTTCATGGAGGCCATGATGAACAGGTCCCCCCAGCCGAGGAGGAGCACGGTGACCAAAGGCTCGGTGTACTTGTCATCCAGGACCGACAGCGACTCGGCCTCCCTGGTCTCCTCCTGCCCGGACGACAGGACCCCGGTGGCTCTGGACCCGCTGGAACACGAGTGGATGATGTGTGCCTTGGACGGGGAGTGGGGCAGCATGCACCCCCTCCTCACCACGGAGCCCAGTCTGATCCTGAGGAAGGACTTCGTCACCGGGTTCACCTGCTTGCACTGGGCGGCCAAGCGAGGCAACCCCGAGCTGATGGCGCTGATCTTCAATTTTGCCAAACAGAACGACACCCCCGTCAGCGTGGACGCTCGGTCCAACGCCGGTTACACGCCTCTGCACGTCGCTGCCATGCACAACCACATGGAGGTGGTGAAGCTCCTGGTGGGGGCCTACAGCGCAGACGTGGAGGTCAGAGACTACAGCGGGAGGAAGGCCTGCCAGTATCTCACTGACAGTGTGAGCGTGGATATCCAGGACATAATCGGAGCATACGAGCGCTCTGACCCGGAGGACGCGTGCCGCGGGGCCGGAGGCCGTTGGAGGTTCTCCAAGGCTCTCCAGTCCAACCTGAGGCCCCTCCGACTCTTCAACCCCAACGACGAAGGTGACTCTGTGGACGGGGAGGCCCGACCCTCACAGAAGGTCCTCAGGAGGAAGTCCTCCCTCAGCAGGATGAAGCCCGAACTGCACAGGCTGCGCTTGAGGACATCGCAGATTGTCCACAGGATGTCGTTCCGTGAGCCAGAGGAGTCGGGGGGCTCTGGGAAAGGTTCCCTTAAGTCCAGACCCAAGACCCACTTCTTTGGGTGAAGTCAATGCAGTTACAGAGCGCAGCGTCTACAGGAATATGGCAGAGGAGCATTTCTATATTCCACTTCCATTACTAGGCTGGGTGTTTGGAGCTGGTTTATTATCAGGGGAAAGCTGATACTCTATTAATAATATCCAGCACCTTAAAATGTGAACAATTGTAGTCCAAATAATCAACACTCAAAAAGCTATGTGAGACCTCTTCAAATCCTCCTTAGTCCAATGATCCCATAAGACATTCATAACTGTCATAATCATAAATTCAGGAATGATGAATGTATGAAAAGGTTATAGTTTTTATGAGATGGTTTGAGCCTCTAATTCTGCTAGAAAATACTTACCAATTACAGCCTTGCGAGCTGCGAGAGGCTTGCGTAGCTTTTGATGCTAGTCTAGAAAAATGGGTCACAGGTGTTGGTGAGAAGCAAAATAGTTTTTTGACCGTGAGGGTGAGCGTGAAGTGTGGACGTGAAGTGTGGACGGGGAGCGTGGACGGGGAAGCGTGGAATGAGAGCGAGGAGCGCGAGCGTGACAGAGTGAACGTGACCGGGTGGAAGAGGCATGTACGAAGATAATTGGATGGTGTCATTAAAGAACAAAATAAAGGACAATCAAAGAAGAGGAAACGTCTCGAGGAGTATTTAAACACGTCAAAACACCAACCTAAGAGAGGAGGACCTAACTTTGAGAAGCAAACAGGGTCTCTACAACGTTATTAGTATATGTTGTATAAGTGTAGAAAGTCATAAGGACTCAAGACATGACAAGACAACACTTTGTGTTGAGGTTTTGTCATATATACACACAAATATAATATCATTATTACTAATTTTTCCATCTCCATCTCGGCATAAAATAAACATTTATTTTCTTATCAACTAGTAAACCTACACATTTTTAACAATTATAGTATTATTGGTAGTCTATTGGTAGTTCGTCAACATGATACCAAACTGATCAACAATTATAGGCACACGCTAATAAGATATATGCTATTTTATTCAACAAGCAACTTAACTCAAATAATGATGATGATGTGTGCACTAGGCATCTCTTTCCAGCTGTCTCCAGGCTGTTGTGCACGAGCTGAGCGCCTGCTGTTCAAGTCACGCACAATGCACTTTTGCAGCCAAGCACATATTGTGTTTGTGTCATTTGAAGGGAAAATGGGTGCAATTTAGCATTCGAGTCACTTTACAAAAGTTGCTCAAAGGTGCCAAATATATATTTTTAAATGGCTAGATTTGTTTCTATGTGCTGTGGAAAAAACACGTTGCCAGGGTAGTCTGAAAGGTAGCTGAATCGTCCCAGCCGTCGGAGCTCTTTGACCTACGTGTATTGAGATGGAGTAATGGTTATAACATTGTACAACAATTATTACCCCAAACTAACGGTAAAACACCAGGACACAACAATTAGTGACAGATAAACAATTTGTAACAATAAGATTTATTGCTTTTTTAAAATTGTATATGTCGTATGACCAATACATTTAAAGCTTCTTTGTCTGAAAAGTTGACATATTTAATAAAGGCTCATGAATGTGTCCTTGTGTTTCATTATTAAAAGATAAATGTTCATTACAGACACCTGGTATTTCCATTACACAACCCTGATTTATCGTAGGTACCTGGAATGGATTAATGGGCCATTTTAAGGTTTGACTCGCTTCCTCTGACTAAATAAACAATACTATACGTTAGAGCATCTTTACAAAGGCTTGTGTGTGTTTGTTTTTATGTTTTAAGTTCTCCCAGATAGAATTGATCAGCTCCTCACTGTTGTTGAGCCTGCGTAGGGTGAGGCTCTCAAGAAGGTGATATTTTATGTGAGCCTGTGACCTAAGGAAGTCCAGGGTGAGATAAGACACAGATGGAACCATACGTGCCCTGACTGACTTTTAAATGTTGTTGATTGACTGGCTCCATTAAGGGAGGGTGACGGTGTCTCCCCCACGTCGTCTCTGGTACTTTTCCAAACACTCCTCTTTGAGGGGCGGGCTCTCCTGTGCTGAGGCAGCACAAACCTCCCTGAAATGTATAAAACCTCCTGTTATCCTTTTCAACTTGGTCAGATCTTCCTGCTCCTTTTGGGGGAAGGAACAGCTCTTACATTTGTACAAAAAGAACAATATTTATTGTAGGTACCTGGAATGGATTAAGGGCCATTTTAAGGTTTGAGTCTCTTCCTCGGATTAAATAAACAATAGTATAAGTTAGAGCATCTTTACAAAGGCTTGTGTGTGTTTGTTGATGTTTAAGTTCTCCCAGATACAAATGATCAGCTCCTCACCAGTTCTTCCTGAAGCTTTATACACTAGTGCTGATGA